GTACAAACTCAACAACCAATAGAGAAACTCTTGGCCGTTGAGAGTGTACACCCTCAAAGAACCTCTCAGCCGTTGAGAGTGTACATCCTCAACGGCCAAGCAGTTCCCTGGCCGCTGTCAAGGATGAGGCCTTGGTCGTCTGCCTGACACACAAATTTGTGCCCGGGATTGTGCTCCTCTACGACCGGCTTGGGATGGTCAAGGATGTCTTGAGATTCTGGATTGAGCGGTCCCAGAGCAATGATCTTGTTGAGGCACATGAGGCAAAGACTAGGATCTTTGAGAGCTTGGATAAGTATGGTGAAATGCATCCCAAGCTTTATCCTATCGTCTTGCTCTACTTTGCTTCTGCTGGTCATCTGCAATCTGAGACTTCTCATCAGTCAGTGAATGACCTCAATCATCATCATTTGGATGGGGCTCAAAGTGATTTGGATGAAATTGATAGATGAAAGATCTTGTCTCCCATCAAAGTTATCAAAACCAAACCTACACCCTCAACGACTGAGAGGGTTTCTCTCAGTCGTTGAGAGTGTACACTCTCAATGGCCAAGAGTCTTTTTCTTGGCTGTTGAGGGTGTGTACCCTCAACAGCCAACAGATAAATGCTTGTCTGTTCAGGGTATGCACTCTCAATGGCCGAGAGGTTCTCTCTTGGACATTGAGTGTGTACACTCTCAATGGCCAAGAGTGTTTCTCTTGGCCGTCAAGAGTGTACATCCTCAAAGACCGGGAGAAAGACTCTTGGCCGTCAACGGTGTGCAATTGTCACCCGGGAGGAATCCTTGTGGCTGCCTGGGCTCTTTTGGGTTTGCCAACACCCAAAACCCCTTGGGTTTTGGAGCATCAACCCCCAACTCCCTTGGGGGTTGGGATTCTTTTAATTAAATTTTGTGGGGATTTGACTCCCAAACCCACTCATGGGTTTGGAGGATTGACTCCCATTTACCGGGGAAGTCAGTGGAGTTTTGGGGGTTTTGGGGTTTGGGAGTCGACTCTCCACTTTTTGGGAGTCAATTTGTCAGCCATCGTGATGCCAAGATGGTTAATCTTCTAGCTACACGTGGTGCAAAACTTAAGATGACAGAGTTCGAGCTCTGGAACTGAAGAGTTTGGGTGGTAATTCCAATGATGATTGGTAATTACAAGGTTATTAGATAGTAGAAATGAATAATTATATCAATAAATATTGATATAATTTAAACAGAGGGGCCTGATAAATCAGGGGTGGTTTAGTTCCCTCTAAGGTATCATGCAAAAGCAGAGGATTTAGGTACCTGTTAACACTGGGGCCTGTTTAACAGGGGTGGTTTAAATCCCAGAAGAAAGTAGTAAGAATCTCAAGAAAGAAGGGGGCATTATGTACTAATAAAGCCCCTTAAGTCTTGAGTTTCTGATAGACAGAGAATTAAAGCAAGAGACAATACATTACCAGACAGATACAAAAGTTGAGCATTTTGTGACGGTGGGTAATTTAAAGTGGGTTGTTATAATCTGATGAATCCTTATTTGGGGGGACAGAGGGCTCTTTATATACCCGTGGAGGAATCTGGGAGATCAGGGTCAACTTGTGGGTGCTTCATGCATGGAGGCTGAAACATGTGACCATCTCCTTGGAAATGTGCCACAGGTGTTCTGTAGAAGATTAAAGCTGAAACATGTGGCTATTTCCTTGGAAAGGTGCCACACACGTGTTATCAATATACAATTGTATGTTTGAAACAACAAATCAGTTTCAGGTCTTAAACCTGTTTATTAGCATATTTAATTATAAACATAAGCATATTTCATTTCCTTCTGGGAGGTACACTCTATATCTTTAATGTAGATTTGCCACATGAAGTAGTTGAAATATAGGGTACCTTTGAGTGAGGTACCCTAGGTTATTCTTCATATAGATTAAGAATATTGAGAAATAATACCCTTATTCTTTGATCTTCTCATTTGTTTCCAGCACTACTTATAATAATATCTTTTTGTATTTCCTACAGTGTTTGTGTACTATGACAGGTTGTCTCTGCTATAGTAGCAAGCTGACATTCCCTACCCCTAAGATGAGTCTCTGACTCAAGAATAATTATTTCACTTAGATAAACAGAAATGGATAAAGTATTGAAGATATACAATAAATTTCTGCTCCATGTTGAACATTTATTTTTTTACTTGCCCGCATTATTAATCACTTTGTTTATCATTTTATAATCTACTAGGATGCTAGGAATTTGTAGTCAATATGAAAAAAATTATCACTCTTACATAGTACCTATCTTGATTAATTTAGATTTACCATCTCAAATGTTTCCTCAGGTTCAGGGATTTCTTTGAATATAACTGGCTTTCCAGTTCAGGGATCCTTGGATATAACTGAATTGCCCAGTTCAGGGATTCTAAAATATAACCTCAAGAGTCATTCTTGACCATCAATCTTGAATTAGTATTTCAATGTTTCTAATAGCTTATTTATTCACACACTGGGTCCAGAACAAGATTGAACTGAATTGTATCCCAATTCTTTTACTACTGATGTGCAAAAACTTCCTCAATTATTTCTCTTTTATTTGTGTATTCTTTTCTTTTCTAGTTGTGTAGCTTCTAATATTATGCAAGTAATTCTAATACTGGTAGCTACTTTTGCCCTTTTACAAGCTGTTCACCAATACTATTAATTTGTTTCAATAGAGGCCCTGGTCTAGCTTGTCTAATAAGACAACCATGAATCTGCAAATAGTTATAGAGGAGTTCAAAAAACAGAGAGATCCATCAGAAGCTTAGAGCCTGTGTTTTTATCTCTTCGAAGAATATTAATATTTATTCAATGGGGTACCAATCAGGAAAAGGAGGATCAGTCCCATTAGCGGGGATGAGCTTGAGGCTAGAGGCGATGCAGCAGAGATACAAACAGTCTAATTCACACAATCTTTGAAGATTCATTCAGCCTGATTGAATTCAAATCGCTTGTTAGGATGCGCAGCTAATTGGAGTAGCTTAACAGTGACAGTGTTTGAGGTATAGACTGATTTTGATATCGCTGGTCTCCTTTGTGTTGTTAGTTCACTCCAAGTAGGTTTTCATAAGTTTTGATTTGATTTCCTTCATTTTTATTCAAAATTGAACCAGCTCTAGTCAAAGCGATTTGATTCCTTTCCGAATGGACATGATACTCCTTTGATAGAAGATAACAGTTCAAGGGATGTAGGTGTTAATCAAGAAATCCACTCTGTTGTCTAGAAGATGTGTTGGAACTGGTGGTTACCAAAGCGATGAACATGATGGTACCAAGACCGACTCTCAGGAGGTGTTGTGGATTAACTTCATAAGATTAAGCTGTGCTACCAATATACGCTCTTTGGGCTTCTCAGTTTGTTCAAGTAGATGAACGCTTCCAAGACGGAAAAGAAGACAGATGAAGTAAAAAACAATGGAATGGTTTTTTATCTAACAAAAACTACAATTTTGAAACAGAATTTGATGTTCATGAAAGATGACCGCAACAAATGGCCTCTTCTGTGTTAGTCAGACTAACCACAGACTCTATTCTTCTAAAAAAAAAAGAAGAAAAAACAATTGATCCTCCTTTGAAATGATCGTTTAGGGTAACCGGTTATGTACTTGTGATGTAAGAGGCAGCCTTTGATATCAAGGATCAAGCAGGTATTCAGGGTAGTTTTGCTCGGTGCTTCGCCTTGGACTGCTTGCTTGATTTATAGTTTGTACTAGTTTAATGCTGGTCCTGAGAGCTGATTGACAAAGTATAGATCATCCAAGTCCTTGTCTGAGAATAACCTAGAGACAATCAGGTTGAAGGTTAGGTTGAGTTATCAGAGGTCCTCGATTGGAATAGGGGTTTGCAAGGTTGACTTGACTAGCTTGGTTTCAGGCTGTCATCATTTTCAGGATCAAAGGTTTGCATAGAGGGCAGGCAGTTACTTGCGGTAATAAGCTGATAATCTTCTTCTCTCCAAGCCAGTCGATTGACAGAATCGTTGGCCAATCAGAGGGACTGACTCAAAGGGTTTCTGGTCTTCAGATACTGATTTGTAGCATCCTTAATGTCGGTTATGTTAAATTGACAAGGATTGTATCGGTTGTATGTCACTTTGGCCAATCTATTGAAATTGGATAGGTGAGATGGTTTATGGCACCTTTGAAAAGGTGGTGGGAGTGTTTCAATTGGGATCAGAGGAGGATGGATTTGTTATGGATTGGTATAAATTGTTGTTGCAAGTGGAGTTATCCAAGATGAGTCTCCATAGCCAAGGTTGAGTCATTATTTTCTACTTCTCAACTTGAAGCCGGGAAGGTGTAGGAGTTTGATCTTTGACTTGAAGTCCGATTGGTGACTTCGCTTATTCTTGAGCTCGGGCCGTTATTCAAGAGCTATGATTTAAGTGTAATCACATTGAAGAAGGATGAGTCTTAAGTTTGCATCTCTTCTTGAGCTGAAAAAGGTGTTCCAAATTTTTAATAATAACTATTTGAATAAGATTAAATTAGAAGCAATGAGGTTATATTTATTCAGTAAACAAAAAAGCAACAGCGATTATCAATAGAATCAATCAATTTTAGAGAAGGGGAAGGTGTTAATTGTATGATCGATGCCCAAGAAACAATGAGTGTTGTTGGCTAACCATCAGGAAGAAATCTTGAGAGCTGCTGAAGTACAATGATCCAAAAAAAGTAAGAAGGAATTGATGGTCCGTCCAAGTTAATCTGCACGTATTGACTAGACTTTTTCTTTTCTTTTCTAGAAAAACAAAAAAAGGTTTTGTACTGAAGAGGTTCTTTGATCTCAAGTTGTAACTGGGATTTGGGATCTTGCAGCATCATGTCTGAATGAGGTTTTTGTAGTTTAGGAATCAGTGAGGACCCTTGTTGTTGTAAGCTGGAAAAAGTTGGTCTTCAACCAATTCTGACCCATTCCAAAGGGAGAGTCAATGTTGAAGCAGCAAAAGTGTGATCGATGGCGCTATCCTGGGTAGCTTCTTTAAGTTTCTGTTTTCTTCTTCTGGCAACATATGGACAATAAGAGCGAGCATCCAGTCGGTAGGTTTTTAACTTAATCACATCTTCTAAAAAGGTACTCTTCACTGGTAACGTCCGGTCGGGGACCTCCAGGATTGGATTTCCATTTGGTAAGACACATTTGGATGGAACATTTGTATGGTATGAAAATCCATTGGGATACAATATGTCGAATTGAGTTTGACAAGATCCAGGTTTTAGTTCAAAACAAGTTGCGGTTTGATGGTGATAGAGGAGAGCAGTAAGTTGGGAAGTGACAGTAGAACAGGAAACGGTATGAGTAAAGAGATCAATACTGAGAGTTGATCGAAAAATAGAGACCGACCTAGTGATCTTCTTGAGATGATCAGGCTGAAGGTCAGGTTTGTGTTGACGGAGGATGGTTCAGATGGTGATGAACCGGTTCTCAATCGTTCGTGGGAAGAGCTAGCTGCCAAGTATTTTGACATGGGTTGTCTCACCGGTGGTCTCCCTGAAAGCTCTCAGGTTGGTAGGGATGTATAGATCTTTTCTTCCTTCCAGCATAGGCTTGCACAATGTCGGATGAGTAGAGGGGTCCAGCGACAAGTACTATTCCAGCATAGGTATAAATCTGATGGGCTGTTGTGTAGCGTGTCCGGATAGGATTGGTAGGTACAAGAGGTCGTCAAGTGGAATGTTCCGAGATTAGTCTCCGTATCCAATGTTGATTGATTCTTTTCCACTTCTTGACTTGAAGTCGGGAGGGTGTGATGGTTTGATCTGTGACTTTTGGTCTGATCGTTTGAACCGGAGAGCATCAGGTATTCAAGAACTCTGATCGAAGTGTGCTCCCAGCAAACAGGGATAAGTCTTAAGTTTGGATCTGTTTCTTTTTAGATCAAGCATGAATGAGAGTGTTTGATATTCAATGATAATTATTGATGATAAACATTTATTGGGTCCTTTTTCTTTCAACTGAGTTTTGACAGAAAATTTCCCGGCCAGACCCCCAATTGTCAGCCACCGTGATGCCAAGATGGTAAATCTTCTAGCTACACGTGGTGCAAAACTTAAGATGACAGAGTTCGAGCTCTGGAACTGAAGAGTTTGGGTGGTAATTCCAA